GAGGATCAGGGTGCAGCTGTGCAAAACTCAAATGTTTGTTGTTGTTTATTGTTTAAAAATCACTTTTATCTCTAACAGACTAAGGAAGGGATGGTTAGTACATTTGCACTGCCAACTGATTTGTTGCAGGCTTGACTTTCAGTTATACCAAGGGGGTGAAGTAAATCAACCAATTGGCAAGAGAAAATAGCCACTGAGATTTCACTCATTACATAAAATACATGTCTTTGGTTTGTAACTGGCCATATGTATGTATAAATTCTAACCAGCTGCATAGCATCTACACAGTTTGAGCATTGGGCTATTAAATTTTTATTATACTTACATACTAAATTGATATACTTATATACTAATATGATTAATTCTTATGGGGTAAAATGAGTGTGATAGACACAATTTCACTTATAAAATTATATATGAGAAAACATAGCATTGTATCCACTTTCATTACTAAAATTAAAAACATAAATTTTGCAAACACTGTGCAGTGGTAAAACACAATACCTAACCTAGAGGGAACCGACAGATTCATTGTTAGAAGTAAAATTAATATTGCAGAACAGAACATAGATTAAAAATGAAAAGTTACAGTATAAGAAAATCAACTAAACACTAAATAAAAGAAATGAAAATTGTATAATGTTCTGAAGGTAGCTGAAGATAGTCTGGTTCAAACCATGATAAAAATTAAAGCGCTCTTGAAGTGAAATATGAAAATCACTTTTTCTTAAGAATCTAGACATAAAAAATGCTTTCACTGTAAGTGAGGTAGTATATGTCTATGTCTATGTAAAATAAGGATGGTGATTGGAAGGAGTAGGGTGGTAAAGGCCACTTCATAACAGGAAGAAGTTAATCCAGTGTTACAAGAAATCAAATAATTGTAGACATGGAAATGTGATTGTTTAATGGGTGAGGAAATTAAAGTCAAGTCAGAAATGTGAAAGAGATGAAGAAATTCAACTGAACTACACCTAGGTATCCGGAGTTTTACACAACCTCCCTTAAAAAAAAACAACTGTCGTGGTTGATGCACATCATGGTCCCAGTTACTTGGGAGGCTGAGGCAGGAGAACTGCTTGAGCCCAAGAGTTTGAGACTAGCCTAGGCAGCAAAGTGAGACCACATCTCAAAAAAGAAAAAATAAAAGAAGTAATTGTTGGGGCTGAGTGTAGCTCAGTCGTAGATAATGTGCTTAGTATGTGAGAGGTCCTGGGTTCAACCTACAGCAACACGCAGTATCTTGTTCTAGATTTCTTTCTCTTCTTATGGAGGACTTTTATTTTCAGCTCAGGAGGATTTTATATTCAGATAGAATATAGGATATAGAAAACTTTAAGTATGTACAAGCTTCAAAATACATAATCTGGTTTTGTGGTTTATGCAACGTTTTAAGAATGGAAAGATCTAGAGAACAGAATGGGAAGAGAAGAAATGGCATAGCAGAAAGATACACAATGTGCAGGATAAGAGAGACAGGAAAGTATGAAAAATCCACAGAGGAAGAAAGAGAATGGAGAATAACAAGTGGGCAGAGAAAAAGCCTCAGTTTCAATGGCATAGTTGATCCAGGATTATGCTGCACAGTTTAGCTGAATTGTTTTATTCTGAAAGCTCAATTATAACTTTCTAAACACTCTTCACAGCTTTTCAACTACTCAAGAACTTACACCTTTGAACCTGCACTCTTTACTGAGTAATATGCAGGATGTTATGCCAAGGAAAAAATTAAAATTTTAACCACAGCAACAAATAATGAGAGTAGATAATTAAGTTACAGAAATCAAATTAACAGACCATTCTCTAACCCTGAATTTCTACTTTCCTGGATACTTAAAGGGGAGTAAATTTCAGTTTGTCTTTTATTGTGGGGTTTGTAATCAACACTGAATTTCCTATAATAGAAAGTTCTTGATCAGTGAAGAAGATATTTTGAAATTTAAGTCTTATGACCTCCCTTCATGAGACACATACCCTAAAAAAAAAGGGAAATCACTATACGTCATAGGTGTGAAATTATTTTAGACAAGTGGTGCCCTACCAGTGACTTTGGTGTGGCATTTGCTTTTAGTGATGACTTTTACATGATAGCGAGGCACACTATGCCCTTGGCCATAAGCATGAGATATTTCTTTCATTTTGGAATTAGCTCTCTTTCTGGAAAATCTCATATCCAATGTCATAATCAAGTAAACAACTATTTACCTTCTTCACTTTTGTACAATGCATGGTTTTCCAAAAAAGTAGGTTCACTTTACACTTATATCCAGATTAAAAGTGGGTTGGTCTTACTGTCTCATTCATGTGGACTAATCACATAATCTAAACAGATTGTTGAGATATAAATGCACGTACAGCTAAGCTAGTAAGTGGAGACTAGACATTCAGATTCACCACTGGAATTGCCCATCTCTAATATTTTTAGCTTTTTTTTTTAGCTTTTTGCCTGATCTTGATATTGCTACTTAATGTTTTAAATATTTATAGTTCACTGTCAGCATGAATACAAAATTCAGACATGAACATCAATGACACCAAAATGTATGTTATGGGTGCCTATTATGTTGTGGGTACAATGCTTTGTAAAGAAAAAGTGGGTCCATGATTCCAAGTCCTATAGACATATAATCTTACCAGGGCATCCAGAAGATATGCAGAAGGAAAAAAATTGAAAGCTAAAACTTATTTAATAGACACAAAAATAGCATTTATTGTTCATTTTCTTTCAGTGGTTAGAAACCAAACTCCAGGGAGAAATATGAAGATTCTTATTCTCTTCAGAGATATCTTCTTGTAGTGAGATATTTTGCATAAACTCTTTTAATTGTTGAAACACTACCTATGAAGCAGATACTATTTCCCCATTTTGTAGATTAAGAAATTGAAGCTCAGAGAGTTTAAGTTACTTGATAAATCATTATATCTCCTCTTCATTTTTATAAAAATAGTCATTTTTTCATCTGTGAGGAAAGTGTATATGTATATGCCTAAAATATTCCTGTAACTACATAGTTGAAAAAAAATCCCAATTCAAATATATTTACTGGCCATATTTAAAATACTTCTTATATAGTCCATCTATATTTTTTCATAAACTTAACATATTCATTTGAGAGGATACTTGCCCTCCAGATGGAGAAATAAATTTAACTTTCAGGATAGAGAAACCAGAGGCATGCAGAAATTGGTGCGCATTTTTAAAAGATTGCTAATTATAAAGACTTCTCAAATCTAAAAGTTCTTTCCTTTGGTATAAGCCATTGACTTGTGAAACATGGTGTTTTACATTAAAGGTAGTGTTTTGGATGAATTGCTTGAAGCTCATGTTTTTCTGCAAAAGCATTTAAGGAGAAGATAAAAGATTCTTGCTGCTACAGATCAGAATAATAAATCAATAGAGGAGTACTAAAGCAATAATGTTTTAAATAATTAGCACATAGGAGAAAAAAACTTGGAAGCAAAAGAATAGAATGACACATACACACGTTGTGGTATACATTGTACGCACATAGCATATAAACATGGATTTTAGGCACATGATTCCAGTAACTCCACTTATGCATTTTCTTGGCATATATATTTAAAGAATTGATTTGCTATTTAACATCTATTAAACACATAAAGCATTGTTCTCCTTGATAGAGTCTTGGTCCTCAAGAGCTTCCTGGATGCTGTGGGAAAGATGTTATTGCAGTGGTGTGGTGAAATAGAAGAGACATTCACGGACAGTTTCATGCTCCCAGAGGGGATGTATCACGGAAGACTTGGAGGAGTGGAGCGTGTGACCTGAGTCATGAAGAGCAAGCAGCAGTTAGTCAAAAAGAAACAGAAGAAGTGGTCATTCTTCCAGGACATAACATGAACAAGCCAGACACTTGATACAATGATGTGTGCGGTATGGGATTGTTGGTGTGCAGAAGTCTCCCCTTAATGTGTTATACTTCCTGAGGTTTTACTTGCTCAAGGTCAAAAAGGTCCAAAAAAAATTAAATGGAAAGTTTCAGAAATTCATGAGTTAAATAATTTTTATTATAGTGTATATTATTACATGTAATTGTGCTAGTTTATTATTAGTCATTATTACTCTTTTACTGTGCCTAATTTATACAATAAACTATATCATAGTTATGCATGTACAAGAAAGAACATAACATTTACAGGGTTCAACACTCCCTGCACTTTCAAGTCTTGTGGTGTTACTGATGGTCAATGCCTTCTGTGAGGATAAGGGGGGATTATTACAGAATAAGGGAGAGATGAGAGGTGAGGGTACAGAGGCAGGTAGAGAGGTGCCTCTAAGATAGCTATAGAGTTTATAGTGAGATTTTATACTTACAGTAACAGTGAGTCTTCACTGGGTTTAAAGGACATGAGTGGCAATGTCAAACTTGTATCTTAGTAGACCATTTTAGTGCCTGTTTAGAAAATACTTTTTAGATGGCCAAAACCAGAGTTGGATACCCCGTTAAGGGACTGTTGCAGAGATGTAGCTGAAAGGTGATGAGGGTATAAGTCAGTGCTTTGGATGGGAACTGGCTAATTTTGGTGGACTTAAGAATTGGTTAGGAGATATCATTGGTAAGACTTTGTGCTTGTTTGGATGTTGATGGATGGATCAGAATTTCTCAGACTTTGAGCCTGGGGTGGGAAAATCAATAATATGAGGTGTAGAATGAACAGGAACTGACCAAGTTGGTTGGAAGGATGGTCAGTTAAACCATTCATCAGCACACATGTATCATAGTCTGCAACTTGAGAAAGAGGTATCTGGTGACTTCTTTGAGAATTGTTAACTTACAGATACATAGGGCTGAATACACAGCGTCTGTGCAATAGTATGTTGTGTTGCCTCCTATGTCGTAAAGCAAAGACTTGTATCTCCAAAAAGAAAGCAGTCATTAATATTATACCTCCTGTTTTTAACAGCAGAATGATCCTATAGAACAGGAAGTGCTCTAGGAAAAAATGCAAGTAACCGAAGGATGGTTGTTTTCTTCCAGGGGTCAGTGGACATGCCTGCCTCAGAGAAATACGGCTACAGCTGACCACGTTATTTTAAGGGCCCTGGCTCTGCAGCTTCGTCCAGTTCAAAATGGCAGAAAAGGCTCCCCCGGGTTTAAATAGAAAGACTTCAAGGTCAACACTTTCCCTCCCTCCAGAACCTGTGGACATTATCAGAAGCAAGACGTGCTCCCGGAGAGTGAAGATCAATGTGGGGGGCCTCAACCACGAAGTGCTGTGGAGAACGCTGGACAGGCTGCCCAGGACACGCTTGGGGAAGCTGCGGGACTGCAACACGCACGAGAGCCTCCTGGAGGTGTGCGATGACTATAACCTCAGTGAGAACGAATACTTCTTTGATCGACATCCTGGAGCCTTCACGTCCATTTTAAATTTCTACCGGACAGGGAAGCTGCACATGATGGAAGAAATGTGTGCGCTCTCTTTTGGCCAAGAGCTTGATTATTGGGGGATTGATGAGATCTACTTAGAGTCCTGCTGCCAAGCCAGATACCATCAGAAGAAAGAACAGATGAATGAAGAACTGAGGCGAGAGGCAGAGACCATGCGCGAGCGAGAGGGAGAAGAGTTTGATAATACCTGCTGCCCCGAGAAACGGAAGAAACTTTGGGACTTGCTGGAGAAACCCAACTCATCAGTGGCCGCAAAGGTATGGAAATCGTGGTATTTCTGCATGGTAGGCAGAAAAGGTGATCCCTACATTCCAGAGGGTGTCGTTTTCTTCATTGTTTTCCTAAGGCAGAACCAAACGTGGCTGCACAGATGGTGAAAAAATCCTTTTCAAGATCCAATTTAGGCAAACGTAGCCATTCTTCCTGTGTGATGCCATAAAATGGTATTATGTTTGTAAATAAAATTATCTGTAGGAACAGGCCTGCACAACAAAGTACAGAAGAGAGTTCTGGTGCCATATGATGTTGGTGACTGATGTTGGGCTGGAGGGTGAGGAGAAAGCCCTAGCTCATGCTCATCAGGCACAGAGTCTTACAGAAGAGCTGGACCTGGGCACCATCTTGTGTAAAGGGAAAGTGCTGCCATTAGAAGCAGAGCAGGTGCTGCCTGGCATGGTTTATGGAAGTCCAGGGAAAGAGAGAAAAGCATTCCTCTCCCCAGTGGCTCAGAGGGTTAAGAAACCATGAGCACGGGGGAGGGTAGTCTAGTAAGTCAGAGTCCAGGATGCATTCGTTTATCTCTCCTTGTGAGGTATACTTTAACAATGATGTGTCCGATTGTTCATGCCTGTTTTTGATATCTGAAGCATTACCACATCCCAGAGTTCATAAAGTACTCTCTTGAAATGAAGGTAAATTCATATTTTTCCTTTGTGCCTGTATATATCTAAGTCTCAGACTAAAGTTTTGGCCACAAATTTCAATATTTAATTCAACCGCATGATTGTTTATCTAATTTTATCTAGAGCTTTGGGGATTAGTGCAAACTGATCTTCATTCCATATATTTAATTCTGTATTGCGGTATGAATGATAATTTAAAAAGTCAAAAGAGTCATCTTTTGCTGCAGGAGGCTTATATCGATGTTTTTTGCATAATAGAGGAAACGGTATATGGAATGGAAAAGAGAACAGTATGTCACCGTATGAATTCTTTTCATTGCTTACAGCTTTTTCAAATATTTTTTCCCTTATAACAATAATAGTTATAGAAATATAATAGACCATTTGAACCTTTTAACTAGAAATTAAGATTCTACATGATAATTCTGAACATAAATTATTGTGAGATGCAGATGATCATAAAACTGCTTCTTGCATTGTTTGATCTTTGGTTTTGTTTCTGGTTGACTTCTAAAGGCATTTTGCTTTCTGGCTAGGACATGCACCTAAATGAAATAAAATATCTTTCTCTTCTCCATAAAGAAGAAATATGTATTTGTGGCAATGGAAGATTTCAGCTAGGTTGTTTTGTAGTTATGAATCAATGCTTTTGTTTATATTTGTTTTACTGGTAAGAGAAATAGATGTGCAACATGTGGATTTTACCGGGGAGAGACTGTTGCTTTATTCTATGTCAAATGTTGACTTACATATTTGAGTTACTGCTAAAATTATAGAGTGAACTTCAAAAGTGAATGAGCTAGACTAGATTTAAGGGAGTATTGTGGGTAGTAAAGTAACTTTTTTAAGATTTGAGACAACTGAGGAATAAGTCATTGTTTAATTAGAAGTTCCAGAAGTACTTAACCAATGATGTAAAGATAAGCATCAAAATCAAATAAAGTTTGAAAGTTTAATGTGATGTATTTGTTTATAACAACATTATTAACATATATCTAAAGTCAAATACTGCCACATAAAAATGATTCAAATATATATGATTTTTTTCTGATGAATTTTCAGTAAAACTGGAATAAGGTCAATAATCTGATTTCCCATGTAGGGTAGTGTATTTAATCTCTAAATTTTAGAAGTAGCAGCCCTCCCTTGATCTCTAAGAATGTGATGTTGATAGTGACCTATTCTAATATACCGTTATATAACCCTGTGCATCTCCAGATTATTTAAACTTGCTTCAAATTATGTATGTGTATATAGATAAGATTTCTGCCTATAAACAGCAGCTAAGGACACAAGTTTTGAAAATTTCTATGAAGTTATCAATAGTAAATTTGTCTCCCAATTCTTAATGAAGCTAAGTCTTCGTTACTTTAAGTAGATTCTTTATTAAATTTTCAGAATGTATTTATATTCGTTTATTTAAATGTCTATACTATCCTCTTTGAATGATGGAATATTATGGAAATTATTTTCCTTTGATTATATAGTAGATTAGTGAAAATATTGCACATTTGTGTGAGGTTTGGAGCCTTTTAAATTTGCTCTCTATGATGTTTTATATAAACTACTGCCTTTTCCTTCGTGCTTCTCAAATCATGTAACTTGTTACTTTTCTGGCGTAAATGTTGGTGAAGAGCGTGCTAATGCAGGTATGTGTGAATATAGTATTTTTTTAAAACTTAAAAATGAGTAAGTTTATTACTGCTGCTGTAAAATGATACTCCAGCCCTCACTGTGTACTTTACATTATGGGTACATCAGGCTCTTACATATGCATGAAGCTCTTGTGTAAGAATGTGGAATCTCTGTGTTCTTTCTTCCTGGCTTAGGAGGTGAAGTATCTTTGGAGGAAGATATCTGTTTACCTTACCTTTTCAAAGACCACTATTCAGTTTGGTTATTCAGCTGAACATATGTTGTGCATGTGCTATACAGTGTACACATGAAAGTAGATACTTAGGAAGACACTTAATTCTTCCCAGAATTCAAAAAATATTCTATTATCTTCAATAGGAATTTCATACCATTGCTAATATTTGTTTTTTCTCTTTTGGTTTTTCTATATTTTCTAATATACTTATAATATTTCTGCAATAAAGCAAAAAAAGTTTTTTCTTTTCCCCAGTACCAGGGATCAAACTCAGGAACTTGCACTTGCCAGTCAGGCATGGCACCACTAAGCTACATCCTGGCTCCTAAAAGTTATAAAACTATTGGTCAAATTCCTAATATAGAAGTAAAAACTTTTTCTATCAGATATTTTATAAGTATCTACTTATTGATATAGCTTATACTCAATAACTAGTTAAATAATAATTATATAGCTGATGCCATGTGTATCCACTTTAATTATTGCACAAAATTATTGCAAGGCCTGTTGATCTGTCATACTCTGTCTTAGGATATGATCCTGACAACAACAGTTCAGTTGTAGAGAACTGGCTCCCTGGTGTCACAAAAAGAACCAATGTAATTAAATTTTCTGGTGAATTAATAACTGGAAAAAAAGCCAAAACAAGACTTAAGAAGGTGGCATATTTGAAATGTCTATATTTGACAAATTAATATTTATATACATACACAGAAGACTATGAAATATAATTGTACTTTTTACAAACTCTGATAAGACTAATGGAAATTGTTATTTCCTTGTTCTCATGGGTATGGTATAATCTCGTAATGGGACCCAAGTTCTGTCTGTAAGATAGATATTTGACTTCTTTCAGTCCCATCGGTGTTTCTTGGTGCTTATATACACTCTCATGTCAACAGTTCAAATGTGAGGCTGTTGTTAATATGTGACTCGGCAACATGGGCCTGGGGAATGGCTGGGACAAGACTCTGAATTACCACCGTGAGGGATTGCTTGCTGTGGTATCTTTCACAGGAAAATGAAAGGCCAGGGGATCTGCTTAACTGGCTGCCATTTCCTAGGCAGTGACTTGGACTAAGACTTGATCCTGCATCTCTTCCAGGCCGGGGTCATTTAGTCAGTCTCTGGGTCTGAAATCATTTTTCTCTCTTTTCTTGGCCTCTTCCCAAAAGAACTGCAATAGCCATTCCCCTGTAACTACTGCATGCAGTGACTTCAGCCTGAGAGGTGTTTAAAAGCTTTGAAGGGAAATGGGTCCTGTGGCATGTGGTAATCACAGGCTTTGGATAAACGAGTTAGCAGGTAGTACAGCCCACCTGAGACCCGAGAGAAACTAGGCTCACCCGTGCCATACAGGCTCTCATTCTGGGCATTTGAAGGTCAAGGACTAAGGAAATCAGTGAGGCATAACTTAACCTGACAGCATGGATGGACAGAGTATGAAGACAGTTGCTGACAGCAGACTGATCTTGGGGCGGGAGTTGGTGGGGAAACTAGGTTCTAAGCAGCCTTTATTTGATGAGAACAACAGAAGGCAAAATCTTCAGAAACACATTTTTGTTCATCAGAACCAGACAACAAAAGCCCTCTAGCACCTTTACTGGGCAGGATGTGGAGTCACACGGGACACTGTGTGCTGTCTCTGTTATGGGTTCTATCTAGATGTCCACCCCTCAAGCCTTGTGATCATAGGTGGCACTTTTGGGAGATGACTGGATTAGTGGATTAGTTAAGATTGGTCACTGGGGCCATTGCCTGGAAAGCTGTATCTCCCCGCCTTGACCACTCTCTATTTCCAACCCCCGTGCCATGAGCTATTTCTTCTCTGCCATGTGATCCTGCCTTGGAGCCAGCTGACTATGAGCTGAAACTTCTATAAACTGTGAGCCAAAATAAACTTTTCCTTCTTAGAGTTGTGGGTGTCAGGTATTGTCTCAGTGATAGAGAAGTAACTAAAACAATCTCCTTCTTTCTCTGTTTTCCCATGATTCCACAGCTGCCACTTCCTCTTAATTTTCTCCATTTTCCTCTTCCTTCCCTTTCTCTTTGTCTACCTTCTCTTCCTGTCATTGTCTGCTTCCTCTCTTGTTCCTTCTCCTCCTTCTTCCCCCTTTTCTTCTCACTCTTTCTCCTTTCTTCTTTATATCTTCAGGAAATGACTCCATTTTCCTGAATGGCTCTGCCTCCTCCTCCTCCTCCTCCCTACCTCATCCTGCTCTTTTTTTCTACCTTCTTCTCCTACTTCTTCTGTGCCCACTTCCATCTTTCATCCCCAGGAATCGGCTCTAGGCTAGCTTGATTGATTGGAAAAATGTTTCTCAGTTTATTTTTATTACTAAACCCTAAAGAGAAAAATTAAGTTAAATTTAAATTCTAATGAAAGAAGAGGAGCTAAATACTAAATAATAAGGTGGAATAAGATATTGTCAGGCAGAATAGAAGTAAAAGGGCCACAAATGGTTGTAATATTTGTTTGCTCACC